GCCAAACTTTTCGAGCTCTTCGAGGGACCTTTCAAAATATCCAAACAATTAGGACATTCAACGTACAACGTTATCGACCTAATAGAAGAAAACGAATATGGACCCTACCACGTCTCTGCCCTCAAAAGGTACATCACCCCTCAAGATCCAACAAACCAAAATTCCCTCCAAACATGAAGAGTAGTGATGCGATTAGTGCGCGCCTGTTGTGTTGTGTAGGCCTACAGTCGTCAGTCATAATAGAAACAATTCCCCTCCCTTTTCCCGTAAAACAATAAAATGAATGTATGTATATAGAACAGTAAACGAATCATTACATAATAATACATTTTATGAAAATGATTTATAAAAATAATAGGAGTTAGTGAAGGATAAAGATCTTGAAATCCATCTATGCTATATAGTTAGGAAACCCCTTTAAATATTGTGTTTTTTTAAATATCTCTCATTATGTTAGTTAGGATATTAATGTTTTGTTATGTTCATGTACTTCAAAGTAATAATTTATTGTTTTTTTTCTTTTCTTGTTTGTATGTTAGTTGTTATCAGTTTTAATCAGTGTAAATATTTTCATTGTTAGTTCGAAATGTCGTTAGTAATTTCATTATAACTCCATTTCTGCGGGGATTTTGTAACAATTCAATATTTTCACCAATATTTTTTTTATAGAATAATTTAATTTCCACCATATGTTTTCTTTTTATCTAAATGTCAATCCCTTTTCAAACCATATATAGTAATTAATTGTCCATGCAGACCAATAGGTAATCAATTTAATACAATATAATATAGAAATTTTCAAATAACCTAATATCATGTAAATATATAATAGCCTATAACTTTTGTAACAAAATTGCTTCAAATTCAACATAAATTTATTTAAATAACTTTTCAAAATTATAATTTAGCTCTCTAGCAAATGAAATTTGTTATAATATATGTGTAAACAGTGGCCTATAATTTTATATTATTAAGTCGGCATTGACATATGTGAGTGCAACAATACATCAGACCATCATCACTTCCAATAGAACCAAGATAGTATGAAGATGCAAATTAGACACTACATATTTAATATCAAAATTTTATAAAAAAAAGTACATTATTCGGACAAAATTAGTGAAATTTGTTGAAAGAAGAACCATCCTTGTGACGAACATTCATAATTTATAACATCAAGAACTTAACTTCAAAGAAGACATCAATTTTGGTGAGATAACTCCAATAGACATTTTCCCCTGTGGAAGCCATTAAAACCTTTTTTAAAACCTTTGGACATTTATACTCAAAGTCAAGAACTAATAGAAGCTTAACTTATTCAGAAATATTATTAATTCAACCAATCTATGATTCGAACATACTTTATATTTTAAAACAAAATTTAATTAGGCTTATGTCACAAGATTAATTTCAAATGCCGCTCGATCACCCCACCTGAGAAAGATCCTTGCAGTAGCCTAAATTATAACATTGAACTTAAATAATTAAAACCATTGTAATAGGCCTAGCCTAAAGTAAATTCATTTCCCACTGTTTGTACAATTTATTGTGAACCCCTTTCTTTTCTTTCACTATCAGATTTGTATAATAATTAATAAATTTAAGTTTCGAATTTGTACATGGATTTACCATTGTAGACCTAAGTTAAAGGTTGATTACAGTTCTGACCTCACTTGAAGTTACCAACAAATACTAGAGTTATACGTTAGTTCGTTTATGTTCTGACCTCACTTGAAGTTACCAACAAATACTAGAGTTATACGTTAGTTCGATTATGTTCTGACCTTACTTGAAGTTACCAACAAATACTAGAGTTATACGTTAGTTCGTTTATGTTCTGACCTCACTTGAAGTTACCAACAAATACTAGAGTTATACGTTAGTTCGTATATGTTCTGACCTCACTTGAAGTTACCAACAAATACTAGAGTTATACGTTAGTTCGTTTATGTTCTGACCTCACTTGAAATTACCAACAAATACTAGAGTTATACGTTAGTTCGTTTATGTTCTGACCTCACTTGAAGTTACCAACAAATACTAGAGTTATACGTTAGTTCGTATATGTTCTGACCTCACTTGAAATTACCAACAAATACTAGAGTTATAAGTTAGTTCGATTATGTTCTGACCTCACTTGAAATTAAAAACAATTGCTAGAGTTATACGTTAGTAGAAATAAATCTTTGTATATTTTGTTTTAAAGTAATTTTATTACTATGAATTTTTTTTATCAATTTTACCCCATTTTAAACACCATCACAGAGTAATACAAACGACTCGGTAAATCAGCTTTCTAAAGCCTCAAAAACGTTTCTTTCTTTAAGTCGCTACAATTCAATATGTATAATGAATTTAAAATAACAACGAAATAGATTTCCAGAGACCATGAAATACAGACCATAACAGGTAATTATTTCATAAATTTGCTTATGCTCATGTACATAATCAATAAATCAATACTATCAAGTACAAAATAATATAATGCGTAAGGATTTTGTACCATAATCGCGCGGGAACAAAGGTTTCAGATAAAAAATAACCACAATCCTAAAACTTTAGTCATAGGTACGTATTTCAATAACGTTGTTTTAAGGTTGGATGTAAAGTAAAGAAATAATTTTACCTTTCAAAAATAAAAGTCCAGAGCGTACAGGTAAGTTACCTAATAAAGGCTCAGAATAACAAGAAAGTTATACTTGAGCCGCTGGCGGGGACTGAGCGGGATAAAGCCCCGACCCTGTGATTTGTTTTACAATCAAATTTACCTTCTTCCATCTTCTCCTGTCAGGTTAAGTTCCCACTTTTCCATTTTGTCAATCAAACAGCCCGTATTGTAAACAAAATTCGGAAGAAACTAGTCCAAGGTGGATTTCAAACTTAAATTAGTTAAGAAGTCAACTTTTTGCAAAATACACCTGTGTCAATCTTTCAGCGTGGTTATATTTTTCCCAATGAAAAAATTGTTTAGTTTATAATGTAAATAAAAAGATTTTGCATACTAGTGATTATATACATTTTAAAAATATACAATACATATACAATACATTACTCGATAAAACTTCCCATCATTCTCAAAACAGCAATAGGTAAATAAATGGCATTTTGGAAATACTGTGATAAAATGTAGAACGACGTTGAACTGAAGGCGCTACTTTTCTCTGGGTTAAAACGGTATTATAAGAGTGGCCGCTATTCACAGCAATATTAATGACGAAGCATTATGCGCGCTATTCGCCACCACGCCATGACGCTATAATCTTCATGCATCTTCCTTAATTGCGTCCCAGACAGGATCTAAGGTGGAAGGCAAGCGTTGCTCACGTCATTAATTACTTTTTGTTGTGACAAACTAAAGAGATACAAAAACGTTTTTATAAATACGACCGTTAGATTTATGTGTTGTCTGTTGCTAGGAAACTGAGCAGTTAATTATTAAAGTACCGCTATTTATTAGGTGATTGCATTTTATGCAAATTCCGAAAGGGTTTGTGCTTTCAACAGAAATTGAGTCCAATGCTTGAGTGCTTTCAAAACTGGTTTAGGATACAAAAGTGCTACAAGTTAAATTGTAGTAAACGCACAGAATCGGTGAAGAAGAGCTGTACTTATTTTCCCGTCATACCGCAGCTACCAACAGCCGTTTAGAACATGCGTTGCTGATCTCCCTAGGTAGTAAACCAGTTTTTTGTAGTCCCCAGGAAGTAAAAGTTGTAAAATTCTATTGTAATCAATCCCTTATCCAAATTTGTTATCGATTTATTACATCGGTTGCAGCTGATGTTGCATTCTTATCAACAGTTCGACACATCGATGGTCTAATTACTCTCGTTAGACGAAACGATTACCAGCTGCGCCTAAGCAGCTGCTGATTTTCATCCATCAAAAATTTAAAAACAAGTTGGAAGTCATGTTGAGTGGTTATCATTACATGAAAGAATTTTCGATTGGCAAATTGTTTCTTTTTCGTTCATAAATCACATTTCACGTCACATCAAAAAAATGCAATTTTGAACTGCAATCTACAATCTCAATCTCGTTGTCGTGCTAAACAACATAATATTGCGTTTAGGATTGCTACTAAAAAATCACACACAACACAGTATAACGTTAACACTACACAATAACTACAAACTAACTATTGGTTAAATCGTAATTCACGAGGACAAGACGTGACTGTATAGGTTATGAGCTAATAACAGTTGTCTAGTGTTGGAAGATTTGGACGAGGAGTTGGCTATGAAGTTAGTTACTAAGCCCGATGGAAGTTTGGCTGCCCCAGAATAAATCCCTTCTTAACTTGCCGTGCCTCGAAACACGCTAAATATCAAATGCACTGTGAGGTATATGAGTTCTAGTAGACGATGAGAGCTTGGACTATTCAACATAACTTCTTTCAAGAGTGCGATATAAAATGTAATAAAACTATTTTAAACATGAATACTTGTCCTTTGTGATTTTGGTTGGCACAAAACTCGTTAGAATATCGTTTCAAGTTTATATACATAAAGAGAAGAGATTTTTTTCATGCTCAACCGTTCGTCAATGTATGTTGTATTTTTTTTTCTACCCAATACTGTATTCGGAAAGACGATTATGTGACAAAATTAGTTGTATGCAACTGATTAGGCGACCGCAGATAAAGGATTGTTATGATCTAAAGTAATAAGAGCTATAAAAGCGATATTTTATGAATACTCGACTAAAGCCAAAGTGTGTTCAAGAATCGTGCACCTTGAGAAAGGTAATCGTGAGGATATACAGTATGTTAGTAAGGATCATATCAAAAGATGACCACTCAACTGTACAAAAAAGATGAGAGGAGTAATCAGTTACAATACGGAAGGCCGAGACGTGAGGTAGTGACCAAGCGTGAGGACATGATATGTTAAAAAGGAACATATGACAAAATTGTCAATCGGTTTTACTGTGTGCAAACTGTGTGAGTTTGAACAACAACATAAATGAAGCCATAGCTAGTGCTATATATATAAAGTTACCTTTGAGATGATGGTCTGGCGTGTCTGCTGTACCTCGCATGATGTCACTGAGATAATGTTCCAAGTTCCGCATGTTATCCAGAGGACTGGTTCCGTTAGCATTGCCCATTGTCCGTTCCTGTAACATAAAACATACGATATAAATAGTAACAAATATAGCTGAGTGAGATTAGCACCACTAATGTGTACTATGTACGTACTAATACTTTTACTAACACAATATACACATCGTTGTTTAAAGTCGTATACTTTGAAAGGTATCACTCACTTCATTTAACAAGAATAGTGCTTCAAAACCAAAGAATCCATTATGGAATGTAAATAACATGAGAGGTGATACCTTTAATGTTCTTTCTGTTCGCTGTCGGCGAAATCCAGTGCGACATATATAAGAAACATAAAAACATACATTGCCAAAGTATCTTGAAAATAGTTGGACATATTGTAAGTGTCTGTAATATACGTTTAAGCAATCTCAACATGATATAAAAGTGAAAGCCCTCCCTGACTCCCGATTTAACTGATTCATCTCCAAATCTCCAACTTGTAGACTAGCTAAAAGTCTAAAGGTCTATCTTAGACCGACAGACAAGTTTTACTAAGTCGCAAAGGAGATAGAGTTTGTAAGTTAAAACCCAATTCGGGAGCCTTTGCGCGGGCAAACAGCGGAAGAATTGAAAGTAAACATTGGTTTGATCTTCACTCCGCTTATTCAGCACAGAGAAGTGATCTTAAATATTGGGACGGACCCTTGGGACACCGTGGAATTAAAATAGCCTTGGAAACAGAAACCACGCTTAAATCCAAATAAATATTAAGTAGATGGTTTGTAATAATAAAATCGCTAAGTTAATTTTGATTTTACGTGTTTACGTGTTACGTGTGGTTACGTGTGATCTTTTCCAGTTAGTCGACAATCATATTTCACGTCACATTTAATTTAATAGAATTTGAACAAGGGATATAAATTTAGTTTGGTTTAGTTAACTGTTAATGTATTTTCATGAGACAGTTAGTAAAATTTGTTAGTAAAGTAAGTTTTGACAAGTTTATCATAACGCCTAGGAAACGAGACATGTGATGATACTAAAACGTAAATTACAAAAGATGTGACTGAGCATAACCATATTTGTCTATGGCATAACTAGTAGATACAGTGGTACAATACCAGCTGTTCTGGTATATAATGGCTACTTGTACTGTGTGTGTATTGTACTAATAGTAAAAAAAATATTATAACATCCAGGGACGGATGCAACGAACGGATTAAAACTCAAGATATAGGGGAACTGCAGAGGTATAAAACAAAGGTTGGCAGTCGACCCAGCCTGGACATTTGGCGACCACTAAACTGTCTGCAAAATCAATGGCCTGTAGTTTTAGTTAATAATTGGCATGTGAGCCAAATAAAAAATCTTTATAGTGCTGTAGTGGATAAGATAATGAGTAATATTTTGATGTAGCGCCTGAACAGGGTGAAATAATAACATGTGTGAGACTAGCGACTAAAGGTGCGTCCACACATGACGAACAATGTTCGCCAACATGTCGCTGTTCCCCAGCGAACGTTCGATCTAGTAAGTGTGGACGCATCGTAGAATGTTCGGAGGGCGAGGGTGGGGGTAGCTGTCGCAATTTTTGTTAAGCCTAAGAACTTTTGTCCAGTTCGGAGAGAGCAGCTCAGTCGTCTCGAAATCCATCTCAGAACTAATATTTCACCTGACTTGTTGGGTAACATGCTCGACAGTGTGTGGGAAACACCCGACATAAGTCAGGTTGGATGATGGGTCCGTCGTCAGGTCAGGTTGTCAGGTCGGGTGGCATGTTCGATAGTGTGTGGGGCGCTTAGTGCTGTACACTTCCGGAACAATGTTTGACATGCTTTGCCTGGATATTTTTTTAACAAATTCATTAGGTAATGATAAGAGTATAAAAAAAAACTCAAGGTAACTGCTAATCTATCTGTCACACTAATTGGTTCAAGACAAAACGTATTATTTTTTCGAGATTACAAGACCTATTAATTTGATCAGATTTTAAAAATCAATGTTCCACTTCCGAGTGAAGTTGGAGAATAGGCAACCAGCTACCAAGTCGGCTGGCTCTGTGGTGCTGACCACTATATTAAAATAATCTTCTTGAACTGTCTCTATGCCACCACCGACGACGCCATTGATAGCTGATAATGTAATATGCAGCACACCATATTTTGTTCGTCAAACAGCTTAAATAATGTTCAGCGAACGTTCAGAAAACGTTTTTTCCTTGTTCGGCGTACAACGGCTTACATGTTCGTCGTGAACGTTCGCCAAGTGTGTACGCAGCTTAAGATGATAAACAAGCATGATGTCAACAGATGGACATCAATCACACCAGACGAGGTAATAAAAACAGTTTCAAAATTTTCAAATTCAAAAACCATGGACCATTTTTGGCTTTCAAATTATATAATCAAGAATACTATACACTACATTTCTACACCTCTCTCTACTGTATTCAATAGTTGCCTCCGTAATGGTTATTTTCCTGATTTACTTAAAATTTCAAAAGTAACTCCAATCTATAAAAAGGGCGATAAGAACCTTTGTCAAAATTATCGTCCAATCTCAATAGTTCCAATTTTATCTAAAGTTTTTGAAGCTCTTATGTTGAAACAACTCAATATTTTTTTTGATTCCAATAAGTTGATGTCTGACTCTCAATTTGGTTTTAGAGCTGGTAGATCAACCACTATGGCAGTCTCCCACATTTCCAATTACATTATTAATGCTTTTGAAAATAAAAATACTGTGTCCATGCTTCTTTTTGACTTAACAAAAGCTTTTGATTGCATTCCGTTTGACATTTTGCTGACAAAACTCAAATTTTATGGACTTAATAAAAACTCAATAGACATAATTGAATCATATCTGACCAACAGGAGGCAATTTGTTAGTGTGGAGGGTAAAAACTCAACATTGACAGCAATTAAAGCAGGAGTTCCGCAGGGCTCGGTCCTGGGCCCTTTTCTTTTCATTGTCACAGTCAATGATCTTCCATGTAACATCCCTATTGACAGTGTTATATATGCAGACGACACCACAATTTTTACTTCTGATAAAGATCTTGTAAAGCTCTCAGAAACACTTTCTAATGCAGAAAACAGTGTTTTAAACTGGTTTTCTACAAATAAACTCATCTGTAACCAATCCAAAACCCAGAAAATAGAATTTTCACTCTCTTCAAACAAATTAGACCATTCAGTCAAACTTCTTGGCATTCACCTTGATACTAAATTAAATTGGAAAACTCACATCACAAATTTAAGCAAAAAACTATCGAGAGTTTCATGTCTATTCTGGAAACTCAAGTCTTTTGTTGACATTGAATATCTCAAACTAGCCTACTTTGGACTGTTTCAATCCCACATTCAATATGGAATCCAACTTTGGGGCCATTCCCCCCCCCCATGTTCATGAGCTTCTACTAATACAAAAAGAAGTCATCCGCACTATGTCGGGGGCTGGCCCTGCGGAGCACTGCAAGCCACTTTTTGTCAGACTAAACATTTACACAATCATTAACTTATACATCTACAATATACTTATATACACTAAAGCTAATCTCAATGAGTTTTCCACCAGGCAGAATTACCATTTCCACCATACACGAAACAAGGACCAACTGGATATACCACATCACAGACTGGCCATCACAGGTAATTCTTTTAAACTTAATTGTGTGAAATTTTATAAGCTGCCTGAGCCTCTTCAGGCAGACAACCTTTCTCTTCCTCTTTTTAAGTCAAAAATTCATAACTGGCTCATAGCTAACCCATTTTACTCAGTTAAGGAAAAAAATTAATTATAAAATTAAAGCCGAATCTTTCATACTGTAAATTAAAAACTCTCAATCGTTATTCTTAATTTTTGTTATCTATAGATATGAACATGTTTAGTGATATTTTATTTAATGTAATTTGACAATGCCTATTCCTATGTACAACTTGGTCAATGGCAATAAACTTTCTTATTCTTATTCTTATTCTTATTCTTATTCTTATGGCAAAGTAGAGATAGTTGGCATAACACATACATCTATATGTATTTTCCATACTCGACTGGTGCTATGAACTCAAAACCTTTTAGAGAGGTAATCCTAAAGCTTTTTACAAATCATACCAACATACATACCCTAGTGTAATGTAAAAATGTACTTATTAAAATTAATATGAAAATACACATATAGTTCAAAACTCTACAAAAGCCGAATCTCGCGTATTTAAAACTAAGTAAATGCAGATTAACACAATCTAAAACGCCTTTAGGCATTATGCTAAAATGCGAAACTGTAAGATGGAACACAAACTTAAAGTAAACTCCTTCACTTCTGAAGGTAATAGGCGCGAACGTTGCAAAAACACGGCAAAACACCTCAAGTTCGTCCGCCTCAGACAATAGCTGCTGATGGCAATATCGTGTCGGTATAATTGTAAAGAGTTTCCCGCCACTGGGAGAGTGCAGCTACCTGCTCTTACAGCTTCATACCTAGATAGTTGTAAACATACAATAATTATGTGATCAAATCATTATTTAAAGCCGATCTGAAATAAACCTGAATACATCACAATTAATTATAAAAAAATCCTTTGGCTAAACTTGGTACAAATTGTTATCGATTAAAATACACAATTAGGCTACTCAGTCTGGGCAACATTCGAGTAAAGTTTTTTAATACATTGGTAGGCTAAATAGGACATATTCGTAAAATACATCAAATACATTGTAGTGATGATTTATGTTGCCAATTGCTGTTTCCGATAGTCACACAGAAGGGGTTTACAGCTACAGTATTCCACTTCACGTTGGTTACGACTATCAAGCTACAGACGACCGGCCACGTATAGATAGCATAATCCTACTTGGTGGACGGTGTGGCGAAGCACAGCAGGGTTAATTGAGGACGGGTTAAGCATTATAAATGCAGGACAGGTATAATCCTTACGGCCAGACCCGTCTGGTTGAATAATTTACTTCCAGATAGACCAAGTTTGGTCCTATTTAAAAGAGTCTTGCATTAACATATAAATGTTGTTGTATGATGACACTTTGTTGAATCATTCATGTGATAAGTACTCAT